AACTCTGACCTTAAGTCCAGACTCTACTAACACTCGCCGCGAATCGCCGCTTATAATAACACGCTTTCGTCGTTGCTTTCTTCCCAGAAGGTGAAGGGGAAGTGGCTATGGAGTCGTGGCTGAGTGACGTTCAACGCGTGCGGATCCCGCGGCCCAAGTTCGGCAGCGGCAATTCCGTGAGACGGTCGAACTCGTCGGTGCAGCACTCGGTGCGATCGGAGATGCACACCCATCGGCAGGGTCAGGACGTGGCCAAGGCCACCGAGGAGCTACGCCAGGCGCTCCAGGACAAGCTCTGACCGACCCCCCCCACGGCCGTCGTAAGGGTCCCGGCGAGGGCGCGGGAACTTACTTCACCTATTTTCCCTCGACATCCTCGTGCTCGCCCGTCACGACGAGAATGACCTCGAATCGAAATTGAATTTTCCGTCGCTGCACCGAGGTTTGCGTTTCCGCAAACTTTTGTGAAAATTTTAAGAGAATCTTCGGATTCATGGATATAATATCCATCGAGTATCTAATTGATCGAAATGCGGGAATAATTCATTATTTGAGAAATCTCCAGTATTAGAAAACCTTGAAAATTATTTATTTTCAAGGCAGTTTGCGAATTTGGATTTCCTCTAAAAGGTAGAATCTCACTTCGAGTTCAGTCAAAGTATCCGAGACGGATCTGAAATAATTAATTTAAGCATTACACAAGTTCATTTGCTCGGTATTATCTTATCTTTTATATGCTTAAATGCTTTATTTCTTCCGTTAATTAATTCCGTGATTACGCGTTAACTTAACGTGTGTTCGGTAATTACAATGCGCTTGCTTGAAATTTTCAAGACAAAGGAACGGAATAACAAGAGATGTGAAAGCATAACATAAACTTTGGGAAAGCGTTCGGCGTTGAGGCAACGGAAGGATCGATTCGGCGATTCGATCAGCGTGCCGTCGTTGCGAGCGAGAAGATCTACGAGAGGATCTGATGAACGGAAGTTACTATCACTTCGCACATCTCCGCCGCGTTGGCCGGTCGTGCGGAAGAGTGAGTTCGAACGTCGGAACGATGGGCGACAATCGTCGACTGCGAAGATCGGGACGAGGATATATATATATATATA